GTGCCACCCCATCCAAGACTAAAGGTGGTAATTCTCCCTCAACCAACGAACCCCAGACCCAGAGCCACTCGGTCTTGCAAGGGTTTAGTTTCGACCTGTTGCTCCCCACCCAGCCCCTAACAGCCTCCAGGCACTGCAAGAGGGAGGACACAGCGACTCTTAACTCACCACGGGCCGAGACATACAGCTGAGTATCATCAGCTGGATGATCTCACCCAGCGGCTTCATGTAAATGTTGAACGGGAGCGGAGAGAGTACCATTCCCTGCGGACCCCGTAAAGCAGTGGGCGAGGGTTGGATCTCTCCCCTCCTGTCAACAATGACTGAGAGCGGCCACAGAGGAAGGAAGTGAACCAGGATAGCACAAGGCCTCCCACTCCCATCCCCTGAAGCCCCCCCCCCCCAGGAGAATCCCATGGTCAATGGTATCAAAAGCCGCCAAGACATCAAGTAGAGCAAGGATGGATGCACTACTCCCATCCCACTCCCGCCAGAGATCATCCAAAAGTGCGACCCATGCCGTTTCTGTCCTCATGCAGGAGCCAGCCCTCTCCAACCAGTCAAGTACCCCTGTGCCCGTTGCATGCTTTGCTCTTCGAGCTGCTCCGCTTAGTATCCTGACCAACTGGGCTCCCGTGAAGGATTCTCCTCCTTAGGGACTACGGGGCCCGTCCCATAGACTTCTGGGGGAGAGGAGGGTATCGCCTCCAAGCCCAGCTCCCGTCTTCTTCCTGGCAGGAAGCCGCGGAGAAAGCGAATCCCGCCTGAGCCACGCCTTGAGCCCTGCCTCTCCTGCCCCCTTTTCCCCCCTGCAGTTCGTGGCCTTCTGCTCCAGGCACACCGAGGACCACCCTGAGGTCATCTCCTACCTCTCCGGCCGCCACCAGAAGACCAGTCCGGAGTACCTGGCTTCCGTGGAGTTTCACAATGTCCTGAGCCGCTGCCTGACGCGGGTGCAAGCCAGGAGTGAAAAAGTCTATGTCTACATTAATGAACTCTGCACCACCTTCCGGGCCCATTCGCAGAGGAGAAGGGCCGTGCCCCCGGCCCCCGCAGACACCCAGGATGCCCCGGCTGCCCTCGCCTCCCAGACGCCCTCTGAGACCGCCAAGCCCTGCGCGGGCTCCAAGCGGCAGATCCGCTACCTGGAGAACCTGCTGCGGGTTTACGCCAACGAGATCCGGCGGCTGCAGGAGCAGGAGCTGGACTTGGAGGAGCTGGACAGCCAGGATTCGGCCTACCTGCAGGAGAGCCGCCTCAAGCGCCGGCTGATGCACGTCTTCAAGCGCCTCTGCCAGCTGAAGGACTGCAGCAGCCTGACCGGCCGCGTCATAGAGCAGCGCATCTCCTACCGCGGGACCCGCTACCCGGAGGTCAACCGGCGCATAGAGCGGCTGATCAACCAGCCGGAGGCCTTCCCAGACTTTGCCGACATCCTCAAGGTGGTGCAGAAGGCCAGCGAACGTCACAAGCTGGGGCTGCCCAAGCGCCAGATGGAGGCCATGGCAGCCGACGCCTTCCGGGACGTGGGCGCCCGGCTGCAGGAGCGGCGTCGCCTCGACCTGGTCTACAACTTCGGCAGCCACCTCACCGACAAGTATCGGCCTAGTGAGTGCTGCAGGGAGGGGACTCTTGGTTCCACCCGGGGCAGGGGCTGCCTTGGAAGGGCCCCCCGGGTGTCACCCTTCGGGGCTCGCTCAGGGCAGCCCTTGGGGCCACCAGCTGGGGGCGCAAAGGAGGCCCCCCGGCTGTTCTCGTCTTTCCTACTCCCTTTGGCTGTCGGGAAGGAAGGGAACGGGGGGGGGGGGGGCGTTGCGCCCCCGGCGGGTGGGCCGCTCCGCCCCCCTCAGGTTAAGTCAAGGGGAGCAGGGCCGCCTCTGTCCCCCCCCCCAATAGAGCTTGGCCCAGGGAACCCACATACCCCCCTCTCCTTGTCCTTGAAGCGGCGGGTGGGAGGGGCATGTTTCTCTCCTCTCCGCACGGCCGCTTTGCTGGGCAGATTCTTGGACCGAGCAGCCGGACGGACTAGGGAGACTCCGCCAACTGTTGTCCCCCAGGAGGTAAGGCGGGGGGGGGGGCGGCACAATGGAGCTGCGCTTCACCCTCTGGGAGCTCCTGGCGTGGATCCCGGGTGGGGCCTTTGAGGCCGTTTAGAATTGGGGAGCGGGGTTAACCAGCTGTGTCCCCCGAAAGCACCCTGGCTATGGGGTGGCTGGGATTGAACACCTGGGGTGGGGGGAGGTTTGGGCAGGAGCCCGTCGGGGGAGGGAGGGGCAGCCCACGCTTGCTTTCCTCTGGCGGGGGCGGCTGAAGGTTCCTTGGGCACAGCCCCTCCTCGGAGGCCAGCGGGGATCTCTTTCCCAAGAGCCCCCCCCCCGTCCATGGAGGGGAGCCCATTGGCCCCGGGGCAGGCAGGCGGACCCCCGTCAGCTCGTGCCCGTCTCCTGCCCGGCAGATACTGACCCAGCTATGGGGGATGTGGAGCTAGCCCGGCACCTGCAACGCAACCAGGCGCTGGGTGTGCAGCGCCTGGAGGAGGTGATCACCCAGTTCGCTCAGCTGCAGGACAAGAGCGAGGAGGAGCAGCAGCAGCAGGGGGGGAGGCCCCCCAGGCAGGACGGCAGAGGCCCCCAGCCCGGCAGGGCCAGGGAGGGGGGGCCAGCCTCCCCGGAGGAGTCCGTCTCGGGAACAGCCGCCAGAGAGGTAAGGGGAGGCCCAGGGGCCGTGGAGCAGGGGGGGCTTCCAGGCAGGGGGGGGGGGGGGGGGCGGGCGGGGGGACCTAACCTCCCGCCTTTGAGGGTCCACCAGAGGGCTTCCCGCCAACCCTGCTGGACTCCACCTCAGAAGCTTTGCCGGGCCACGGGGTCAAGTCAAGGGGGCAGCTGCTGAGCTGGGGGAAGAGTCACGCTCACCAAGGCCGTCCCGTCCCACAGAGGGCCGAGACGGTTTGTGTCAGGCCTGCCCTGGGTAGGTTCCTTCGGAAAGAAAGACCCTCGACTCCCGTGGACCGAAGGGAGCGTTTCCTTTCCCGAAAGGCTGCTGGCTGCAGCAAAGTCCGGCCCGACCAAAGCGAGGCCCCCCCCCCCCCCCCGCCTCCAGCCCCCCCTCCCCCCCATGACCAGCCAGTGAAGATCCCCTCGGGGGGTCCCCGTCCTGTGGCCCAGTGGGAGGTGGGGGGGTCCAGGGCAAGTGGAACCCCGCCCCACCCACATACCCGGCCTTTGCCCTAGGACAGTGCAGGGCCCAAGGAGGTCAGTGAAAAGAAGGGAACATGGGACGAAGAGGAAGATGAGGAGGAGGAAGAGGAGGAGGAAGAGGAGGAGGAAGACTCGGACTCTGAGTCAGACCTAGACACGGAGCTGGCCCACTGCCTGGATGATGCAGAGGACGAGGAGGAGGAGGAGGAGGAGGCGGTGGCAGCGGCAGGTACCCTGGGTGGGTGGCTAAAGTGGCCTTCCCCCTTGAAGGGGCTCCTTGTGGCAATGAGTTCCGCAGGGTCATCCTGCATTAATAGCCTGGAGGGGGCTCTCCTCCTGGCCGTACAGTTCCTGGGGGACGGGGGGGGGGATACTCCCGGGTGACCTCGGGTGACCCTGCCCCCCCCCCCCCGCACCCAGGTGAGGAGCCCCCTGCTGCAGACGGGGACGCTGACCAGCAGATGGACCCGGAGGAGCCTGAGGTGGCCCTGCTCTCCGCAGAGGAGGAGGAGGAGGAGGAGGAGGAAGTCTTCCCGGACTCCCCTCCCCAGCAGTTGCTCTTGCAGCTCAAGCAAGACGAGGAGGAGGAGAAAGGGGGGCAGCAGAGCCCGGCCCCCGGGGCCCCCCCGGCGGCCCCCAAGCGCAGCAACTCGTTGGAGAACGGGGATCTCAACGGGCAGCCGCCCAGCAAGAGGAGCCGGCCTTGGGGGCAGCCCGTGGGCTCCAGCAGCAGGTGCGGGGCCTGGGGAGGGGACCGGGGGGGGGGCTGCCTGCCCCCCCCATATCATCTCACGCTGGCCTCTCTCTCTCTCTCTCTGCCCGGCAGCAGCATCACCAGCACCACCCCCACCACCACCCCCGGGGACGTCGGCTGCATCCGGGTGCCCAGCTCGGGCTCGGAGGGGGAGGAGTGGCTGCCCTCCCGCAGCAGCCCGGAGCCCCTGGCCGACTCCACCCGCCCGGACTCCCCCGGGGTGGGCCTGGTCTCCAGCAGCCAGGGCAGCCCCCGGCCACAGCAGCAGCAGAAGACCAGGATGAAGCCACGTTCGCCGGAGGACCTGCTCCTCACCAGGGTGGGTGCGGAGGGGAGGGAGAGGGGAGGGGCGCCGTGGGAGGGGCCTCCACTGACCTCTCTCCCTCTCCTTCCCCCCCCCCCACAGACCAGCGTGGCCACCCAGTGCGACCCGGAGGAGATCATCGTCCTCTCCGACTCGGAGTAGCAGCCGCGGAGAGGGGGGGCGCGGGGGGGGCGGGGCCCGGAGGAGAGTAAAGACTTATTTTTGTGCACGGAGCCCGCCTGCCTCTTTTTCCGCGCGGGCGGGGGGGTGGAGTGGAAGAGGGGGGGCGGGGCCCGGGAGGAGCGGCGCCTGCGCAGAGGGCGCGCGGAGGCCGGAGGCCGGGGCGGGCGGCATGGCGGAGGCGGCGGCGGCGGCGGCGGTGCAGGTGGCCTTCCCGGAGGCGACGCGCGCCCTGCTGGAGGCGCTGAACCAGCAGCGGGTGGAGGGGCAGCTGTGCGACCTGGCCATCCACGTGCAGGGCCGCGTCTTCCGGGCCCACCGGGCCGTGCTGGCCGCCTGCTCGCCCTACTTCCACGACCAGGTGCTGCTGAAGAACATGAGCTCCGTGGTGCTGCCCAGCGTCATGGACCCGGCCGCCTTCGAGCTGGTGCTGGGCTCGGCTTACACGGGGCGGCTCCGCATGGGCCGCGACGACCTGGTCAACTTCCTGACGGTGGGCAGCGTCCTGCAGATGTGGCACATCGTGGACAAGTGCACGGAGCTGCTCAAGGAGCGGCAGCGACGGCCCGACCTCGCCCAGGACGCCGCCGCCTCCTCCTCTTCCTCCTCCGGCTGCTGCTCCGGAGGCCGCGGCGGCGGGGAGAGCCAGTCGCCCAGCAGCAGCAGCTACTTCAGCCCCCGCCGCGACGGGCCCATCGAGCAGCCCCGGGCCGGGCTCCGCGTGGGGAGCGGCGATCGGGAGGAGGAGGAGGGGCTGCGCCGGCCCGCCCCGCGGCGCCTCCGCCCGCCGGATCCCTTCGCCCGCCGGGCCGGGGCTGAGCCGGACGACGACGGGGAGCCCGGCAGCAGCGAGGCCCGCCGGCCGGCCTACGCGCGGCCCAGCCTCGTCCCGCAGCGGCCGTGGGTGCCGGTGAAGAAGGAGCGCGGCGTCGGCGGGCGGGCGTCCGGCGGCGGGGGGGAGGCGTCGGCGGGGCTGGTGCTGACCTGCGAGGAAGAGGAGGACGAGGACGACGAGGAGGAGGAGGAGGAACCGGCCGACCCCGCCGCCCTGAGCATCAGCGACGTGCGGACGCTAAGCGAGGCGGCCGCCCCCCCGCCGGAGGAGCAGGTCAACTTCTGCGAGTCCTCCCAAGACGTGGCCTTCGCGCCCGCCGCCGCCGCCGCCCCCCGCGCCCTCCTCCCGCTGGACCTGCCGGCCGGGCCGCTGCTGCTCTTCCCGGCGTCGGGGGCGTCGGGGGGCCCGGGCCCGGGGGTTGTCCCGGCGGAGCACGGGGCGGTGCAGCTGCCGGGGGCCTCGGGCGAGGCCAACAAGATCTTCCTGTGCCACTGCGGCAAGGCCTTCTCGCACAAGAGCATGCGGGACCGGCACGTCAACATGCACCTCAACCTGCGCCCCTTCGACTGCCCCGTCTGCAACAAGAAGTTCAAGATGAAGCACCACCTGACGGAGCACATGAAGACCCACACGGGCCTCAAGCCCTACCAGTGCCTGGTCTGCGCCAAGAAGTTCATGTGGCGGGACAGCTTCATGCGCCACAAGGGCCACTGCGAGAGGCGACACCGCCTGGGCCCGCCGGCCGGGACCCTCTCGGCCGCCGGGACCCCCCGGAAGGAGGCCTCGCCCCCCCGCCTGCCCGGGGAGGCCGAGTGGGCCGCCGGACGGTCCCCCCGCAGCGACGGGGGCTTGGCCAGCACCAGC